TTTTTTTTTAGAAACCTCAAATCAAGTCGTCTTTAAAGAGCAAAAATGTGGCAGTGTGAATGGGCTCTGATGGCCGTGATCTCTAAGAAGTTTCATGTTATGTGTCTCCAGTCTATGACTGAATATTACCTGGGGCCCCTTGGTAATGCCAGGGGCCACACTTGGGGACCTCCTATACCACGAAAGTTGACATAAGCTGAGACTTACCCTCACTCACTGTGAATGATGAGGAGGATGTTCTCTTTGTATTGGTTGGATTCATCCACTGGGGCGATGGCGGGGATTTTCTCTTTGTATTGGGTGGGGCGATGGCGGTGGTCTTCTCTTCGTATTGGGTGGATTCATCCGGCTGGGCGATGGCGTGATCTTCTCTTTGAATTGGGTGGATTCATCCGGTGGGGCGATGGCGGGGATGTTCTCTTCGTACTGGGTGGATTAATCCGGTGGGGCGATGGCAGGGATCTTCTCTTTGTATTGGGTGGCTTCATGCGGCAGGGCAATGGCGGGGATCTTCTCTTTGTATTGGGTGGATTCATCCGGCTGGGCGATGGCGGTGACCTCTTCGTATTTGGTGGAATCACCCTGCGGGGAGATGGCGAGCATCTTCCCCTCGTATTGATTCATTAATTCGGTGTGGGCGAAAGCGGTGATCTTCTCTTCGTATTGGGTGGATTCATCCTGCGGGGAGATGGCGGTGACCTCTTCGTATTTGGTGGAATCACCCTGCGGGGAGATGGCGAGCATCTTCCCCTCGTATTGATTCATTAATTCGGTGTGGGCGAAAGCGGTGATCTTCTCTTCGTATTGGGTGGATTCATCTAGTGGGGATCTTCTCTTCGCGTTGGGTGTGTTCCTCCGGTGGAGCGATGACGGTGACCTCTTCATATTGGGTGGATTCACCCGGTGGGGCGAGGGCATGATCTTCTCTTTGTATTGGGTGGATTCACCCGGTGGGGCGAGGGCAGGGATCTTCTCGTATTGGGTGGATACATCCGGTGGGGAGATGGCGGTGATCTTCTTCTCTTCGCATTGGGTGGATTACCTCGGCAGAGCGATGGCGGTGACCTCTTCGTGTTGGGCAGAGTCATCCGGTGGGGAGATGGCGGTGATCTTCTTCTTCTCTTCACATTGGGTGGATTCCCCGTGCAGGGCATCATCCGGTGGGGCGATGGCGGTGACCTCTTCGTATTTGGTGGATTCATCCGGTGGGGCGATGGCGGTGACCTCTTCGTATTTGGTGGATTCATCCGGTGGGGCGATTGGCGGTGACCTCTTCGTATTGGGTGGATTCATCCTGCGGGGAGATGGCGGTGACCTCTTCGTATTTGGTGGAATCACCCTGCGGGGAGATGGCGAGCATCTTCCCCTCGTATTGATTCATTAATTCGGTGTGGGCGAAAGCGGTGATCTTCTCTTCGTATTGGGTGGATTCATCTAGTGGGGATCTTCTCTTCGCGTTGGGTGTGTTCCTCCGGTGGAGCGATGACGGTGACCTCTTCATATTGGGTGGATTCACCCGGTGGGGCGAGGGCATGATCTTCTCTTTGTATTGGGTGGATTCACCCGGTGGGGCGAGGGCAGGGATCTTCTCGTATTGGGTGGATACATCCGGTGGGGAGATGGCGGTGATCTTCTTCTCTTCGCATTGGGTGGATTACCTCGGCAGAGCGATGGCGGTGACCTCTTCGTGTTGGGCAGAGTCATCCGGTGGGGAGATGGCGGTGATCTTCTTCTTCTCTTCACATTGGGTGGATTCCCCGTGCAGGGCGATGGCGGTGACCTCTTATTGGGTGGCTTCATCTGGCGGTGATCTTCTCTTCGTATTGAGCAGGAATCAGTGGCATAATTAGAGCGGAGCCATTACCTGGTGCTGTTGAGTCCCCGTTGAACATTTAGCCGGCTGGTGTGACTCATTTACACCTGTCGCATGTTAAATATTTTTATTTGCCGATCATTTTGCTCTAATTGCCTCTGTTAGGTTAATGAAAGTTTGTGTAAAGCGTGTTAATTGGTGTGTAATTATTCACTGCGAGTGTATCAGACGGCTGACAGCGGAGCAGGCGTTGCACTGGGGAACGTGGTGAAGACACAACATGGCATTGTTCTCCGGGCGAGGGAGAGAAGCACCGAGCCGGGGTTCCGCCGTCTGTAACGGGAGAATCCCGGTGGTGTCACGGTGATTTAAGAAGTACAAAGGTGGAGGGTTTTGTTCGGCATATTGAGCTGTAAAGAGACTTGCGTGTAATACACAGACAGTCTCTGAATGATCGCATGTCTGTGGGGCAACCTCAAGTCGTCCGGAGCTCTTCTTTGTGGCCCAAGTGACTGGGCAGGTCTGAGCTGCTGGTAGGTCTGGTACCTGTGAGACCGCACCCCCTGTCCCTCCTCCTAGCCTGCTACCTGTGAGACCACACCCCCTGCCCCTCCTCCTTCTAGCCTGATACCTGTGAGACCACACCCCCAGTCCCACCTCTTAGTCTAAAACCTGTGAGACCACACCCCCTGTCCCGCCTCCTAGTCGGATACCTGTGAGATCACACCCCCAGTCCCTCCTCCTTCCGGTCTGATACCTGTGAGATCGTGCCCCCTGTCCCTCCTCCTAGCCTGCTACCTGTGAGATCACACCCCCAGTCCCTCCTAGTGTGATACCTAAGAGATCACATCCCCAGTCCCTCCTCCTGCTAGGATACCTGTGAGACCACACCCCCTGTCCCTCCTCTTTGCCTGCTACCTGTGAGACCACACCCCCCAGTCCCTCCTCCTTCCAGCCTGATACCTGTGAGACTGTACCCGCCTCCTAGCCTGATACCTGTGAGATCACACCCCCTGTCCCTCCTCCTTCTAGTCTGATACCTGAGACCACACCCCCTGGCCCTCCCCTTTGCCTGCTACCTGTGAGACCACACCCACGGTCCCTCCCCTTTGGGGCTGATACCTGTGAGACCACACCCCCAGTCCCTCCTCCTCTTTGCCTGCTACCTGTGAGACCACACCCACAGTCCCTCCCCCTTTGGGGCTGATACCTGTGAGACCACACCCCCAGTCCCTCCTCCTCTTTGTCTGCTACCTGTGAGACCAGACCCCCCTCCTTTGGGTCTTGATACCTGTGAGACCACACCCCCCGGTCCTTTGCCCAAATAGTAGTTCTGTGGATAGAAATGATTGTAACAGCGACATTTTGGGTCCGGCACACCCGGCTGTTCTCCGTTGTATCCGCCGGCCCAGCCACTTGGAGGTTCTACATATAAGAGATGTACTAGAAGGACACATCTCTTATGTCTTGCCGCTCTCACCCCACCCCCACTGCCATCAAAGTGTGTGTTACCTATAGGGGGAGATGAGATGATTCTTGAGATCCTCCTGCAATGGACTGTTTTGGGTTTTACTTGTATCTGCAAATGATGTAAAAATGAGTTGACGACGTCCCTTTAACTGACCGCACCTCCCTGTACTCCTCCAGGTGACCTTTGACGATGCCGCTATCTACTTCTCGGAGGAGCAATGGCAGAACCTGGAGGACTTCCAGAAGAAGATCTACAAGGAGCTCATCAAGGAGATCTACGAGACCATGCTGGCTCTGGGTTGGTGTTCTTATACTGTACCGAGTGATGGTAGCGAGTAGGGGGCACCGATACCGATTACTAGTGTTGGTGCCGATACTGAGTATTTGGGCGGGTACTCGTACTTGCTCAAATACTCCGATGCCTGGCCCGATACCCAAACTTCCCGTATCAGGAAGCCGGACGGCGAGTCAATACATGCAGCCCGTCTTCCTGATTGGCTGGGTAGCCGGCTCCATGCTCACCAAGTGACGAGAGAGCATGGAGCCGGCTTCCTGGGAAATCAGGAAGCCGGGCAGCATGTAACAACTCCCCGCCCGGCTTCCAGATTGGCCGGCTGCCCGACCAATCGAGTCATTACCCGCCCTCCGGCTTACTGATTGCCATGCAAGCCGGCCCCATGCTCCGTAGTCACCTGGTGACGGCTTCCCGGCTGATCAGGAAGACAGGTGGTGAGTCATTACACACCGCCTGGCTTCCTCAATGGGACTTCCGGTATCGGCGAGTACCCAAAAATAAATAAATATTGGCACTCGATACAGAAAACAACAAAAAACACGGTATCTGTGCATCCCTAGTATCTGGCCTTCGGGGTGACCCTCTGCCCCCGCACTAAACTTAAAGGAGAACTATGAGGGGGGGGAGGGGCTTGTCACTCACCTCATAGTTCTAGCCGACCTGTGACAATGAGACTGTCACAGGTCGGCTCAGTAGATCAGGAATTGAGAGAACGCATGCCGGTGTTCGCTCGCTTCTCGATCCTGTCACGGCTCTCTGCCATGACAGGGGATTGGCTGGATTCCCCCCTCCCCGCTCCGATCTGCCAGCGCTGACTGGCGGAACGGACGGGGGAGGGGGCGGGTACAGCTGGCTCTGCCTCTAGATAGGCGGAGCCAGCTGTCACTCACGCAGCTGGGCGGATCCAGACACAATTGTGGGGATCCGCTCCGGCGTCTCAGTATACCGCGAGCTGTAGCTCCCTATATACTGAGCCTAGGGTGACGGGGGGACGCTAGTTTGTGTCCTCCCGTGACCCTAAGGAGAACTATGGGGGGAAAACACTGACCTCATACTTCTCCTTTTAAGTGCACCTCCGCCCGGTAGCAGTCAAAACAAAGCTTTAAAATGATCCGTCACCGACCTCTCTAGCTGCTTTGAATGTGAAGATCTTCTTCATTTCCAGAGATCCCCAAAAGACTCTTGAGGGCCCCGTCACACCAGCGGGCATGCGTTGTGGTGCGCATAACACGCCTGCGCTGGTCATGGATGTGTGGTGAGGTTGGGGGCCCCGGGCCCGGTCAGCAGGGCAGTAGGTGGTTTGGTTCCTCCTTGTAATAGGATACATTGTTAATAGTTAGGAGTTCAGTCTTAAAGTGACAGTACACTCAGGGGACTGGAATACATTTTTATGTGCTGACCCCATTCCTACAGTGGTCATCCTTTTGGGTGTAGCCCCGATAACACTGATGCCTGAAATGTACTACACCGAGGTCTCATCTCTCCTTCTGTGATCCATAGCAATGTATATGAGACCCGTACCCGAGCAGTAAGTGGGTGATTGGCTTCCCCCCATGGTCCCCCCCCCTTTCCTCAGCTGCTGGTGACATCCGGCGGGCCTTTTGGTGTATTGATCCGGAAAACCCTTCAGTGGGACCCCTCTGCTAATTTCTCTTTCCTCTCTGACAGGATATCGCATCCCGAAACCAGAGATCGTGTCCCGAATCGAGCGAGGCGAAGAGCCGTGCATCGACAGCAGCAAGAAGCCGAAGCTGGAGGGCTCGCAGGCCGAGGGCAGCAAAGGTGACGGCAAAGTCTGATCCCGATACACCGTGGGGGGAATTCATCGACACCGGAGCAGCCGTGCGCGGCAACCAATCAGCTTCTCTCTTTCAGTTTGTTCAGTTAAGGGAGAACTACGAGGCGAGGGAAAATCACTCGGCCTCATAATCTGAGCCGACGTGTGGCAATGAGACTGTCGCTGGTCGGCTCAGTAGATCGGGAAGTGAGAGACGCATACCGCCGCTCGCTCACTTCTCGATCTATCCGTGCAGAGAGTGGTGACTGTCACTCGCGGCTCCCTGCAGGGATTCCTCCCCGCTCCGATCCTCCAGCGCTGACTGGCGGAACGAACGGGGGAGGGGGCGGGCACAGCCGGCTCTGCCTCTGGATAGGCAGAGCCAGCTGTCAATCACGCAGCTGGGTGGATCCAGACAGAATTGTCGGGATCCGCTCCGGCGTCTCAGTATACCGCGAGCTGTAGCTCCCTATATACTGAGCTTTGGGTGACGGGAGGACGCTAGATGTGTCCTCCCGTGACCCTGAGGAGAACTATGGGGGAAAGCCCTGACCCCATAGTTCTACTTTTAGGCTTTGAAATGAAAGGTGGAAGCTGATTGGTTGCTGTACACCTCTGCTCCCAGTTTTTGATAAATTCCCCTCTGTGCGTGTCGGAGGTTCTGGTTCACCCATGCGGGTCATAGCTGAGGGGGTTGGTCTTGTCAGGATGGGCCATGCACGGTTCACAAGGGTGGCTGCGTATGCCCTGTGTAGGCACCCCGGGTTCCTGGGGACACCATGGACAAGTCTGTCGGCCGGCTGCAGGTCGTAGTCGGCGAGTTTGGTAAATGCTTTATTATTAGTCGGGGGGATGCGGACACTTTGCCGGCGTGTAACCATTTTACCCCCATCTGCCCATGTGTGAAAGGGCCGGGTCTGTGCACAATGAAGCAAGGGCTCAGTCCCGGGAGCGGGACACTCTCATTCATTTACAGAGAGCCTGAGTGACGGCTTCTTTTATTATGCCGATTACACAGGATTTGCATGACACAGACAGTGTACACAGCACTTTACAATATAAAGAGAGACCGTGCATGTGCTATACAAATCAAGACAAGAGGGTTAGGAGGGCCCTGCCCATGGGAGCTTACAATCTAGGGGGAGGGGGTGTGAGTGATACAAGAGGTAATGACTGTGGGGGGTGAGTTGGTGGAAGTAACCCTAAGCACTGGTTCTCAACCTGCGTAACCTCAGGACCCACATTCGTCCTCGGTCATTAAGCTGTGACCCGAGTCGTAGTGCAATGGAACGCACGGCAGTGTGGGCTGCTGCGCTGGAGCTCCATTCATATGTGCATTGCTTGCACAGCTCCCATGCGTGTCCTGTAGAGTAGCCGGGAGCCAGACTGTGATGTCACTCCAGTCCAGGCACCTCTACAGGACATGCAAAGGAGCGACAGTATAAGCAATGTACATATGGATGGAGCTCCCTCGCGGCCATACCCCTCGCCCACCCCTCCTCAAGTCGACACTTGGCGCCGGGCAGCATATTTTGAATGGCTGCTTGGTGTAAGAATGGACAGTTCTGCGCTCGGGGGAGGCTGAGTAGCCTCTCACCTAGAAAAATGGAAGGCATATGGCGACCCACTTTTGGGTCACGACCCACCAGTTGAGAAAAAAGGTCCTAAAGGGAGTAGGAGATAGCTGGGCAGATTGGGGTAGGGTGTTCCAGAGGATGGGAGAAGCTCTAGAGAAGTCCTTGAGGTGACAAGGGAGCTAGGAAGCAGGATGTCTCGAGCGGAGCAGTAAGGCCGGTTTGGGTGGTGGTGTGGTGATGTAGCTCGGGGAAGAGTTTTCCATCGCTTTTTATTCGGGATGCACCAAAATAACATTTTGAGACCGAACCCAAAAATAAAAAAAATTGTCAGTCCGAAACTGAAACCGAAAATGACTTTTTTTTTTACTTCACTTTTAGGTGCTTCGGGGGAAATATTGGGGGTCTAAACTGATCCCTGATATTTCCCTTTTAACCCCTTCGTGACTGACGACGTACAGTGTACATCGCCAGCATCGGGCTGTTTAAAACAGTGCCCTCCCTTCTTGGGGACATATTTTGGAAATGTGGCAGGGGTGAAGGTGGCAGGATTGGGGATGGTGATTGGATGTTGGGTTGGAAGGAGAGGTCAGGATTACACCTAGCATGAGGGGGGGGAACTGATA